TCTGGCACTGATATGTGGACCAAGAATTGTAAGAACAGTCTAGAGAAGTATAATACTAATAGAAGAAGAGAAGTATAATACAAGGTTACAGGGAATTGAGAAAAGTCTAGAAATCATGGAGAAGTGAATGAGATAATGATAAAGAATTATTTGAATGCGTAATAAGCAGTCAACATTATATATATTTATTTAGAAACAGTACTTTCAGGAAAAGGGAGTTAATACAGTAGCCACATTTTTCTAATGAATAGAGAAGGTATTGTTTGTGGGTGAAACTGGAAAGCAACTTCAGGGTGGAAGGTATGGGGAATACTCACTGTGTACTTAAGTCAGTTTTAGCTATGCACATGAAGTTATACTCACAGAAAGAGCAAAGCTTGAATTGAACAGAATGCTGTAGATTCTTGAGGTATCAGCTTGCAATATAGCAGATAGAAGGAAAGAGGAAGAATAAAACATATTGAAAACTATCCAACAGCAGAGGAGATGCATCTAAATCAACAGAAATAATCTAATCAATGTATTGGAAGCTGCACTGGCTCTGGAGGTGTTCAAGAAACATTTGGATGTTGTGTTGAGGGACATGATTTAGAGAAAACTATTGGTGATTTGTGCATGGTTGGACTGAATGATCTTGTAGGTCTTTTCCAACCTTGGTGATTCTATGATTCTATAAAGAGTGTTACATTGTAATACTACTATTCTACTCTAGGTACCTGATTTCTTACCATTATGTTGTGATATTTCCCTTTGAGAATATACAATCTCCAGAAACTACCTGATCAGTTGGGATCTGTAATGAATCTAAGTATGCTACATGACAACATAGACAACCCACCTAATGTACTCAGATTGCTACAATTATGTTGTGTTCTTTCCCTTTCTGATGGCAAAACACTGCTGTTCCACTGGCAGTTCACACTGATTATCTTGCACTTTTTGTAAAAAATCTGATTCATACACTGAAGACTGCTTTTTTAACATCCAGAGGGATCAAATTTTTGAAGTGCTTGGATAACATCAGAACTCAGTGTTCTTTTTAAAACACTGAATTAATTTTAAAACTATATGAAGACCAGAACTGGGAGTTGGGCAGCTACATATATTTATCAATTTCTGGTCCTCATGGACATTCAGTGGTATTTAACTTCTATATGGAATTAAGATGCTAAGACATATAGATATCTTTAAAAGTTTGGCCCATATGCAGGATACATGGCTTACCAAAGCACTGTGTTCAGTTTTGGGCCCCTCAATACAAGAAAGACATTGAGGCATTGGAATGTGTACAGAGAAGGGCAACAAAACTGGTGAGGGGTCTGGAACACAAGTCTTATGACTAATGCTTGAGGGAGTTGCAACTGTTTAGTCTGGAGAAGAGGAGGCTGAGCAGAGATCTCATTGCATTCTACAACTTCCTGAAGGGAGGTTGTGGTGAGGAAGGTTTTGGCTTCTTCTCCCAGGCAACAAAAAAGACTTGAGGAAATGGCCGTAAGTTGTGCTAGAGGAAATTTAGATTAGATATAAAGAAAAAAATTTTATCTCATACAGTGGTCAGGAGTTGGAATGGCCTGTCCAGGGAGATGGAGGAGTTGCCACCCCTCGCAGTGCTCAAGAGGCATCTGGATGAGGAGCTACGAGGTATGGTTTAGTAGCTTGTCATAGCAATGGGGATGGTAGGATGGCTGCCCTAGATGATCTTGTAGGTCTTTTCCAACCTTGTGATTCTGTGATTCTTTAATATGACTTGTTGCAAGTCAATTATGATTCATCCACAGATAACTAAAGTGTTGTCTCAAAACCATCATTCTGCCATTTCTCATCAGACAGGCCCTTCACTGTAAAAAAAAAAAAAAAAAAAAAAAAAGTATATTAACAATGCCAGAAACGTGAGGCCAATCAAAATTAGTAATAGAACAAAGGAACTAGACAAAAATTTAACTTCTAGAAATCATTTAACTGTCCAGATGTTTTGCCACAGGTAATAGTCATTTGGATTTTGCAGAAATGGCCAAAAAAATTGTCTGGGAAAATATAGGAAGCACTTTTTAAACATTTGTTTCAAGACATGTCTCAAGCTGAGATCCATTGTTCTATTCTATTGCTGTTCTTCTGTATTTGCTTTTTGTTGTGGCTTTTTTGAATTGTGTTTTCTGTTTATCTCCTTTTCTAAAATGCAGATATATTTCTTTAAAAAGCAGAAAACATTTTTTTCTCTTACCAAGTCTTTATTTTGTATTATACTTGCACTTGTTCTGGTTTTTTTCCTTTTCTCTTTCAGGGTATCTCTAACATTTGTAGTTTTTTAAATCTTTCTGTTGTTACGTCTACTTCCTTGACTCACATATACAGTTTATGATAGACAGAAAAACACAATTTTAGCAAAGTTCAAGTACAAAATCAATGAATATGTATAGTAAAAGGAAGTCATGATTTCTAATATCTTTTCCCCTCAACAAAAACTACTGCAAAGATGCGGATATTGCACAGCTCAGTACAAGTTAGAAATATGTATTTCACATTTACTTCAAACCTGATATTCAATAGAAAAGGGGACTAGACTTGTCCTATGTAGCAAGACATATTCTCTTGTCACTAGCACAGTGTGATGTGAGTGGCATCCAAGCACACACACACAAAAAAAAATAAAATCAAAAGAATATACTGTTTTAAACACCCTTTCAAAAGTAAATAAATAAGGTCTGAGATCTTGGATGAGTTGCAGGAAATATGGACATACATTTATTCTGCAGGGTAAGTAGATTTGATAAGAGGACTCATCAATAATCACAGTGATAAAAGCCATATTTTCTTCTGTAGATGATACACATACATTTAAATTACAAGTTTATACACAGCTTTCTGAATTTCCATAGATGTTGAAAATTACTGAATAGTTAGAATAATGGTTGAATAGACCCTATGGGTTTTAGAAATGACTAGCACAATGTATCAAAAGCAAATAATTATTAATTATTTGTAATTATTATAAAGTATAAATTTATTATATATTAATTATTTATATTCATTATAAACCAATTTGTTCATAACAACAATAGAGAAAGAAAGAAACTAAAAAAGGGAGCTTGGGATGATGTACATATTGGAAAAAACATTCTTGGTTTTCTTTAACAATAGGAGAGAATGAATTTTACTTCTAGTAAAGTACTGGGTAAAAGCTGACAGGAATAAATTTGACATCTGGCAGCAAAAGCATCTGCTGAGATGTACTTAGGGTTTTATAAATGTCTTGTGGTAAAACTTTTCTATCACAGACTAACATAATAAAACACAAAACTAGACTTCTGGCATTAAAGCTAATTACAAAGAGGATGAAGTCTGGGAAAAAGACACAGATGAGATCAACTGCCTGGTGATAAACATTGTAAATATCTAAGGAATCTAAAAAGTACAAGTAAGTAATATAATAACAAAAGCTCACAATCAAATAATTTTCATAAAGAAAAACCTGTGACATCTCTCAAGTTTGTATAAAATATCAATCCATGCTAGTCTGTAGTAACTACAGAGCATAGTATTACTTTAGCCTTTGATCTCATCTCATAGTGGACAGCTATATAGAAACACTTTGATTTAAATAGTGAATACTCTTCCTGAAAACAATTCAAAGGGCCATCTGGATGTTCTCTAATAGAGTAGAGTGGAGTGAGCACTGTGAGAAACATACCTGAATGTGAAAGGACTTAAATTATTAAAGACTAAAGTCCACCTTCTGAAAGATAGTGAGGAAAATACTGCAATGTTTTCCTTTTCAAAATCTCCCCTGAATTGAACACCCTTGTTGCCACCCTGTTCTGAGAACAAATGCTAGCTTGTAACACACTCATTTTAAAAAGCTTTTCAGCTTCAGTGCAATCTTCCTGGCAGACCGAAGAAGATAAAGCTCTCCATTTATGTTCATAAGTCTCAGAGGTTCTCTTATACTTTGCTAATAATAATATTTACTGTGGGACGTTACAGATTCATTTCTTGTGATTCTTCTGAAAGGGAAAAATGCACCCCAGGCTTATGTCATTGTCCTAATAATAGTTCAGAATTGTTATTAGGAAAGCATTAAATTGTGATTACAGCCTGTGCTAACTGATAACAAAAATAAATCTAAATTCAAGCCAGAGAATGAACTCAACAATGCAACTCATTTTTGAAATTATTTCTAAATCTGACAGTTGAAGTCTCAGTCTTAGTATTACTGACTGGGGAGTTTAATGTTAAAACAGAAGCCCGTTCCACAGCTACATCTTTCATACACAACGCTAAAACTTGAATAGACAGCTGGAAGAGAAGCAGACTTAAAGCTCTTTGGGTCAGCCACAGAGAAAAATGCATCCTGACTCAAATCATTAGCACTTAGATATATTAGTTTATTGTACAAAATACTTATATATTTAGTTAGTGTAGAAACTTTTATTGGAAGCACATGATCTCATGAGTACTTTCTTGGAAGGAATATAAGTAAACAAATAAGTTAAAATTCAGCATTTTAACTATTGCTCAGTCTATAGCAATATGAAAGAAGCAAGTAACTAAATCCCTGCATACAAAGCATAGCCAAAGAAGGAATGTTAACCATTTGTCTTTGCTATTAATTTCTAAAGCTACTGCTGTTTCAGGAGATAATTTTAGAAAGCTGTTTAAAGAAGCTGCACTAGTTTTTCTTCATTTCCTGATCTAAACAGTTTTTTAGACAAAATATGCAAAAAAAGATAGATCAAATCAGATCAAAATTGAGACAGTTTCTTATCAACTTCTTATTTTCTACTTGTAACATTAAACCTCTCTTCACCATATATTAATTCTCAATCTCTCTCCACCTAGTCCACATGGGCTTAGAAGTTCAGAAGTGTATGGGAGCTATTGAATCACGACCTGAATCTCTGATTGATCAGCTGAGGTAAGCAATGAGTCAGCTGTGGGAGCACAGGTGAAAGCAATTCACCTGTGTGACTGGAAGGTGTAGAGCCTGGCTTCACCTCTTCTACACAACATTTAAGGATTGACTGCCACTGAGGAAGGATTTCTCTGGAGATTGCTCCTCTTGGAGTCTTTTTCTGTGAGCCCAGGATGTGGGTAAGCTTTTCCATTCATTTCTGATTATCCTTTTACAATGTAGTAATCTTCCTAGCTATATGCTCTCTAAACACAGCCTAACTTCTCTCTATGCTTGTTGATTATTCATCTATATACATGTTGATTATACAAGAAGCAAGGAAGAACATATATTTTTAAAAACAGACTTGTAACAATCTTTAATCTGAGGAGAAAACCTTAGAAAAATGAGCACTCTGATGCTGGCTGAGTATGAGAGGAACATGAATGAGGGTTTTCCATTTAGGGCAGAATTTGTTAAAAAGCAGTAGACATTTCTCTAGCTACTGAGGTCAGGTCTCTCTTAGTTTGTTTATTCTCTTGTTTGATCTCCCAGATTATATTTATTATTGATTTGAAATATAATATTTTTAATGACAAATAAATCATTGCTATCCTAAAGTCAACAGCAGACAGAAATGAACAAGTACAATACAATGAATATATGAATAACAATTGGAGGCCTTATGTACATAGATTCTCTTACAAACTGAAGCTCAGAAAATGTGTGATATAATGTCAAATATTTCCTAGAATGGCTGAGCCATTTCAGCAGCAATTACCACAATTATTTCTAAGTACTGAATTAGTGAAAATGGAAGAACTGCCTCAGGTCTTGATTTAAAGTTTCTGCGTTTGCATGAACATATGTTGACATGTTAATTTTTTTCAGCAGGTTGAGTCTCAGCATCTTAGTGAAATTTTAGACTGGAAATTGAAGCTAATTATACATGGTTTTGTTTTGTTTTATTCCTGTAGAACCTACATTTAATATACTTTATCAAAATTCCTTTTTATTGCCCCTTAAGATATAATATTTATGAATTAATGTGCTTTAAGATAAAACTAATAGGATTTAGCCTTAAGATTTTATATTCCATTGTTATTTTAATTCATTCTTACTGAATTTTTGAAGATCTGTCTTTTCACTGTGCCATTTGTTGCAATTGTATTACCATTAGTCTTTGAAATTGAATTCATATTTTGCTTGTCTTTCTGGGTAGGTAGTATTTGATTATTTTCCAGTATGTGTACACCTAAATAGTTTAAGTAGGTTTTCTCATCAATTTTCAGCTTTCATTATATTTCATGGTATCAACAGATTTAGAAGTTCTAATAGATTATTTCTGGTGCAATAAGTCTTAAAAATGAGAATTATTTATAACTTGAAGTCTGTTTGTATTTATCAGTATATACAAAGATTTTTAGGCAGACTATTACAAATACATGGTTTTAAAATTTACCAACCAGATAAAAAATATATATATATATATAAATAGTTACTGAGTTATTTTTCACTGAATTTATCTTAAAAGTTTATGGATATGCTCCAAATATTTGAAGAAATTTCTCTGGTAATATAATTTCACAATAAGCAATACATTAAGTGTTGTCATAAACCAATCAGGACCACAACATGAATATGGAGGAAAAATGATTTGACTGAAATATTTCAAGTTTGTGTTTTTATGTAGAATACTTCCATTAGAGGATAACACTAAAGTATTTGGTAATGGACTTGTACACAAAGTCACCTTATCTTAGCCAAAGCTCAAAATGATTCTGAAAGCGGAGATTTGAATGACAAATCTCCTTCTCCTAATCACTATTGTACATAAAAAGCAAATAAATAAATGAGGAAAAAAAACACAACAACAAATGAACAGGGGCTGAAGGGAGTACTCTGACCTCAGTCTGGCTGAAGTTATCCCAAAATAAACCAGAAAGTTAAAATGCCACACATGCAAGTGATATCCACACATTTAAGTCATAGATGTCACTTCGCAAATGTCAGTGATTCTTGGCCAGGCATAAATCCTTTTAAAAAGGTTATTGGAGGTCATTTTTCCTTCTGATCAGAACTTTTTTTTTTTTAGCATCACATCCACTCAGTGGACAAGGCAATTCAATCTCCTTAGGCTCAGCTGATGCTTTACAGCCCCTCGTTAGTAAGGAATCCTATTTGCCAATTCTATCCCATCTCTCCCAAATCCTGATGAAGTCTGTATGTATGAAGTCTCATGGGTATAAGCTGTCTCTGTATTCCAATACCTCTTATGGTAAGTCACAGCTTTTGGGTGAAATTAACTCTAGTAGTATCAAACTTCATGACAAACACTTCTTCACTAGGAGCTAGAAAGTGTACCTTTTCCCTTCTTCAGACATGCATGGTTTCATAATCTTCTGATTTCTGAAAGTGTATGTTTTTATGTCCATTTGGAATAAGAATTTACCTCTTTTTCTATTGTTTCCATACATCGCTTTGAATACACAATCAGTTGGGAAGAGTTTCCATTAATATAGAGATATTAGATATTATTTGATTAAAAAGAATGTTTTAGGTTTTATGTTACTAAAATGAAGGGATTTTAGTGCATAACAGCTGAAGATATAATGAGCATTTTGGGCTACAAAGAAATATGTGACTGGAATTATTAGTGTGAGTTGTACAAAGGAAATATGTTAAATGAATAATTCTAAAACTGTTCCCACATAGGTCAAGAGTGATTCCACATTTGCAATTTCTGATATGAGTTTTGTATTTGATTTTGTGTTATGTTAGCTGGCATTAAGACAGTGGTTTCTTTGTACTCAAGTTGGATAGAAAGTTCAAAGATGTCTTTAATATGAGAACACTGTCTCTGTGTAATGGAATAAGAAACAAGATTCTAAATAATTTCTGGTGTGCTTTGGTAATTTTTCCAGGAGTAGGAAAAAAAGTGATATTTAGTAACAAATTTTAAATGTGGTTTTATTTTTTTCAGCTACTTATTGGGAACATCAATTCATTTTTTTGTAGCATGTATATTGTGTTAAACTTTGATTATAAAAAGCTTTTTGAACTTGCAGTGGATTTTATTGTAAAAAAAGAGTATGATCCCATGGAACAAGTACAAGCATTCTTACATTTAGAGACATACGGATATAAAAGACTATATAAGGTCTTGTTTCAACTAATATCATAGATTTCAAAGCAAGACTACTGTATCCTCCTTATTGCAATGGATTTTTAAGTAAATCAATTCCCTGCCTGAGCTCTTACATGATTAAGAAAAAACAGAAGAATTCCAGTAGGAGGGGGTATGTGCCAAACAAACTTGGTGTTGGGAGATCTAAATCGAGTCTGTTAGTGGGAGAGCCTGTCTTCCTGGCTAGAAGGCTAGAAATGCCATGCTAAAAATATATTTTTTGCTACAATGTTATAACTTAAAAGAGATGGAAAGAGTTTAAGTGTTCATTAGGACAAGGCTCTCAGAAATAGCCTGAGTTCTGGGTGGTCCTGTGTGGATCCAGGAATTTGGACTTGATGCCCGTGGATGCCTTTTGGCTTGAGATATTCTATGCTTCTATGATTTTATGAAAACTCTATTTTTCCATCTTTGTGATAAGGTTCCATAGTAAGTATACTAAGCATGAAATTACACAAGCAAAGATAATTTACTTCATGCAATTCCCAGGATTTTTTGCTTTTCAGATGCTACCTGTGTAACTGTAAATAGACATCTAACTTATAGTCTGAAAACTAGACATAAGTTGCTCTGAAAGTCTTTGCTTGTGAAGTATGCTCTAGTAACACTGAAATGGGGCAGTACTTTATTTCACTTTTTTGAACAGTACTGTGGCTTCTAGAAATGAAGCATCAGTCTTTCAGAGCTGAAAAGCATAATTCAAACATTCTTTACTGTAACAGATTATCACAAAAACTGCTATGTCCTTTATCAGTAAACTAACACAAGGCAAAAGAATGACATCAGATGACAGAATATATAGATGATAATTCTAATGAGCAAGCAGAGCACTCATGATAAACAGGGTTAAAAAAAACGGGCTGAGGACAACACAGATATACTCGTGTCATCAGTCTTGTTCTTAATTTATCAGAATTAGGCAGACTATTTGCCATACAAAACTGAAATTATCGTTCAATCTCATCCCTCCATTTAAAGTACCAATGAAAATAGCTCCTAAATGCAAGACTGTGAAGACCAATGATACAATAAGCAGAATAAATCATCTATTGATAAATCTCTCAGTCTACAGAAAGCTTCATTTGACTGTACATTGAAAACTGTATAATTTGTTTTTCCTTAAAAAGAAATGCTCATATGTTATGAATCTTTTGTTAGGTATCAAAATAAAGTTAAAAAAACAACAACAACAATATTATACAATGTTATAAAAAAAAAATAGTTGATCAAATTAAATAACAATTCTGCCCCTACACACATATTCACTGTACTGTACTCAGTACAGACTCATACAAGCTCACAAATACGCAATATACAGAACCTGCCGTAACTGTCTAACAATAGTGCTCTTAAAACATGTATTTAGATAAAGAATACAAGGCCAAAATTTGTGCACTAAATTTTTAAAGTGAAATATTTTTTCTACATTTTACTCATACTGGAGATTACTGGTTTTCTATGGAGTAAAGATTATTAAATGTAAAGAATAATGCAGAAATACATTCCATCTTGATAATTGGAAAGCAGTTATTTAAGTTTAAAGTGAAAGGCTAAGACTTCCACCCTTCAGTGGCTCCGTCACAACCAGTGCCTTTTCCCCTGAGTTTGGCAGTGCTTTTGTTACTGTTCTGTTATTCTGAGGCATGAAGACAGCAGCAGTTTACATTCAGTATGAAGTTCACATCTGCAGAAAAATGTATAATGTGCCATCCAGGAGTGGGTGGTAATTAACATAACTGGATAGGGTTAATCTGTATGTATCAGGAAATTATTTTTTAATGGAGACTTAGAGGCTACAGTAGGCCTACCTGCCTGTACTGTTCTGGCTTTTCTTTCTTTTTTTACACTTCAATTTATTTTATTTGAAATTAGATTTCTGTGAAGGTATTGTTGTGGTGACTATTCTCTTTTAGCACTGGAGAGCTTTCTTCCACTCCCCAGTAAAGTGCATTCATTATATTCTTTTCACTTTAAAAGACCATATCCTCCAAGCAGAGCACACAGTAGTGAGCATATATTCCATTGTCCTGCCTGGCTGTAAAGGCACACTGCTGAACACCAGGCCTATCTGCTGCCCTACAGGATCCCCAGATCCTTCTCCACATAGCTCCTCTCCAGCAGGTCAGCCCTCAACCTGTAATGTTACATGTAGTTATTCCTCAGGTGCAAGACTGTGCACTTGCTCTTGCTGAACCTCATTAGTTTCCTTTCTGCCCAATTCCGTAACCTGTTCAGGTCTCGCTGAATGGCATCTCAACCTTCTGGTATGTCAACCACTCCTCCCAGCTTTGTAACATCATAGCTTGGTAATAAATACTTTGTTTCTTAAAAGTTCCGTGGGAAGGACAACAGAGAAGCATTTCTGGGAATCCAACTCAAGCATGAGTCTTAAGGTAACTTGAATAAAACAAGTTAATGTTTTTTTTTCCGGAGTTATCAGTCAGAAGTTCCATCAGCATGGCCAGAAGTCTTATGAAACTGACATCTAAAGCTGAATCAGACAATTCCTGAGGCTGCAATTTAATGTTGTAGTTGATATACTACTATCTCTTCTTCTGTAGATCTATCAGATCTCAGGTTTACGTTGAGTCAGTCTATTCAAGATGAGAAAATGATGATTTGATCACTACTCTCTTGATGAAATCAGCTTCACAAATGAAGTTTTGATTCACTGAACAAATAAAACAAACAGTAAAGCAGAATATTCCCATTTATTTCTCCAAGATGCTTTTAGGTATCATGTGCACTTTAGCTTCTTTTTTTACCTTAAAGCAAAACTATATTTTCTTCTTTGATATGTGCATTGTTCTGCAAAAGCTACATCCACTCAGGGCTGCACATTTTGCACTTTTATTTTCCAGGCTGTTTTCTTTATGGTCAGGTACAACTACTGTGGCAGATTATAAGCAAAAATCTTGTTGTTATTTAATTTAGTGCATGGCTATACAAGCATGACTAAGTAGGAGAATGCATCTTAGGTCTGATGTTTAACTGGTACTTTTTGATTTTAATACTTCAGGCAGAATACTGGCCCTAAAAGCATCTTCTCTCCCTATGCAAACTCTTTTTGGGTGGAGCTGTGCAATTTGGGTGGACTTGATGGTTTAAAATATATTCTTACTTATCCTGTCTTAAATAAAAAGTGATGTTTAAAGCGGTCAGTCTGAGTGAATTCTAACCTAAGCATAGATGGATGAGAAATTATTTGGTAACAGCTCATTAATATTCAACAGTATTTTCTTGTACCCAAGTTGGCACTCAGTTTCTTCCTAAGTGAATTTTTTTGTCTTTGTCAAGATACTTTTCTTGCATTCTCAAAATCAGTAG